GAGTTGATAGGAGCAGCGGTTCTGCCCAGCGCCGGCCTCGCTGAGGGCGGAATGCTTCGCGGCGCCGTAAAAATGCACCGTTTTGTCGCTTTGTGCTCAATACATGGTCGTTGAGGTTTGGGTTTTTTAAGATGAAACTTGAAAAAAAATCAGTTCGTCCTCATTTCTGGATTTTGACGTGTTCTCTGGTTCCTGTTCGCAGAGCACCCTCCAGGATTTGACAGTCCACCGTGCAACTTCTGAGGATATTGTAAGTTCAATAGCAATCAGTACTCCTTCTCTGTACCAAGGAGATTTGGCTGGTTATCCAACATAAGTGTTTACCATACTTATGGGGGTATTTTCTGCCAGTGTTTAATCTCCCTTTATAAGCTTCTGAAAATATTGGCTCTTCAGTTTTAGTTCTTTGTTTATGATACCATGCAGCCTCAGCTCTGGCAGTTGGTGTTTTTCAGTTTTCTGTTTCCATTGGGAAGTAGCAGCAGTAGCTTATGTTACTATAAAGTGTATACCAGCATAGAAACATAAATACTTAAAAACTCAAGTGCGATAGTTGAAGTTAAGTCTCATCTCTGCTGGAAGGACTGAAAGACAGGATTTATTGTAGGATTCTCTGTAATGCTGAGGATACTCCATTTTCATTTAAACAACATCATTTCTTAATACTGAATGACCTTTTCATCGCAAAATACATTAATTTCACTTCATTTTCCTTGCTAGCACTGATTACCAGGATGGAGTATCTGGTATAAGCTGTTGTTGCTTATAAATTTTGACAGGTTAGTCAGGATAGATGGGCACAACAGCAGGAAGAGACTTGATTCTATAAATGGTTGGCTTGATATCCTCCAGACGCTGTAGCAAGCACCTCACATAATTTGTTTAATTTGTATTTAAACTGAATATATATATATATATATATATATATAATTATTAGAAGAGAGTATCGTTGGTGATTGACATTAGTGTTAAATCAGGAAAATGCATTATATATTCCTATCTTACAAGTGGTAGTGTTTGGTTTTTTCCTCCCTTTACATCTGAGAAAACTCTTATTGAGTCAGTGGTGTAGGGCAGATGGAAACTTAGTCTTTTCCCATTCACCTTTGACACCACTTTAAATTTGGCTGCTATTTTTGGCCTTTTACATTTCTGGATGTTTGTGAGGCTGTCGTTGGTACTACCATGAAGTTAACCTAAATAGTATTCAGCACATGAATGATAAAATCAAGAAGACCCTGTTGGCATTACCTTGCAAGTTTTGCTTTAGATTGTCCCTTGATTTTTAAATGGTTTATTTCATGTTTACATAGCTGCGTCGCCATGAAATACACAAATCAAAAAACAAAGCACTGGCACATCTGGAACTACAAGAGAAGGCACTGAAAAGAAAATGGAAGAAGCAAAAACAACTGACTGCCGATTCCTTGGAGAAAAGGAAATTGACTCTGATGCGTGAGGTGAGAGCTAAATCTGCGCTTTCAGCCTGCTGCAGATGATTTGCAGTATTAGTGGAAACTACTCTTGCACATAGGTCAACATTTGCTCCTCTTCTTGGACAATTTGACTCAATATATGCGTGCGGTCTCCCTCACCTATGTGCTGTGTGCATGCAGTGGTTAAAATAGGCTGTATAACATATTAACTGATCTGTGCAGTTGTGCCCTCTGTAATTCTGCAGGGTTTTTTGTGTCTGAACAGGAACTGTTCACAGAGTTAAACCATATGTTGTGAAAAGGATGCGTATTCTTTGTGTTTTTACTGCTGTCTTGCCTTCTCTCTGTCTAGTATTTTTCTTTAATGAAAATAGGAACATTTCTCTTCCTGGGAGGGACATCCTTATCTGTGATTGCTTATTTAAACAGGGAAAATACAGAATCATAGGGGCTGAAAGGCTGAGGCAAGAAATAGATAAGGAAGAGCTTGTCTGGAAGGAAAATTGACACAACAGAGGTTGAGGAGCTGTTGGCTGCTAGCAGACAAGCTTGTCATCTGGGGATCAAAAAGCTTGTTCTATGCATTCTGAAGCACTCTGAAAATATATTGTTTAATTTGCTTTTGAATATAGTAGCAGTTAGCTTAGCTAACAGAGATAGTAGCTGTTACTGTCTGAAGGACTTCGGTGGTAGACATCCTTTTGTTTCACATGGTAGGCAACTTCTTGCTGTGTGTCAGGAAAACTAATCTCATAACAGTCATTAGCTTTCAGACTTCATCAGCGCTTGGACAAACTGAGAATTCTTCTTGTCCGTAAGGAATGATGATGAACAATGTTCACCTAGCAGTTAAAGTAAACATGATTTAATAGTCCTGTAAATGTGCAGTGGATTAACCATCACAGACCTCTTCTCTCTTTTGTAAATATTCAGAAGTAGTTTTGTGATCTCTGAGAACATTCAAGCATAGAGAGAAATGAAAATACTTACAATTGAAGATCACCTTCTAGGTTCCTATTTGACAACTATTTCTCTGCACTCACAGCAGAATTTTTGTGTTGTTAATATTGTGCTAATCAAGCCTCAAACTTGTAATTTTGACCTTTGTTATTTTCATAACATTTCTCCCAAGTGCATTTTAGTGGAATATTCAAAAAAAGCTGTGGACTTTTATACAAATTTCCTTAATATAATAGCCAGATAGTTTCAATAAGACTGCCATGCAGAAATAAATTATGTATCACAAAGGTAGATTAGGCACCAGCTCTAAGATTTGGCTGGATTACCTATTATGTGACTAAGTTATTAGCACATGTGAAACTCATAATCAGGAAACAGTCTTCTGTATTTGTTGCCATTTCTAATGACAATTCACAAATTTCAGTTCCTCCTGAGTGGCTTTCCCTGTCATATTTAAGAGATTATTTTATCCAACATACCCTGTGTCTACTTCTGAATTAAAGGAATGATGCTTTCAGATAGGAAGACAAAAGGAGATGATGCCAGGCAAGATAAAAACCCATCTGGTTGTTGCTGTTTGAAATGCTGGCATCTCCTTGCAAGTAGAGAAACGAATAGGTGGAGGAGAGTCACCATTTTTCTGTCCCTAGCTTAAATCTT